CCTAAACCACCATCTACCTGCAAAACAAAGAAGCAGGTGTTTCAACATGTGTTGACATCAGTTATCCTTTCTTAAAGTAGATGCACTCAAATTGGAATTGGACTGCAAAAGCAAGATGGTCTCTCTAAATATTTAGAGGTTTTACTTTGCATGATTTAACAAATAAATAAGCAATCTATAATCCTTAACACTTCCAAGTTCTGTGCTCGAGAAAATTTTTCCTTAATTATATAGCATCTTAAAACCCCCTTGTTGCAAAAAAACAACTATGGAGAAATATGCATATCTACATCAGTCCATTGAATAACAAAGCAAACGAAGCTGATAAAATAATCAAACTAAGAGATTCTCTTTCTTTTCTCTTCTTCTTTTTGAAGAAAATGGTTATATAATGAGATATGGACTCACCTCTATATCATGAAGTGATGGTTACTTCTTTCTTAAAGCTCGCACCTAAATCCAAAAACACAGAAAAATGAAAATTAATAACAATATTAAGATTCAAATTTACAAAGGAATAAGGAATGAATGAGAAGGCACCTTTTCCATCATGTCCGGCATGAACTTTTGTCCACCAAATCCAGGTTCTACAGTCATCACAAGAACCATTTCCACAGGATTTTCACTGTCAACCTGTTAAAGAGACAAGGAACCCAACCCCCAACATTTAAAAATATGTAGAATCTTAATCACTAGGAATTAATTGTGTTAAAATTACAGAATGATTAAAGCACAACATTGGTGAATCTAGACAGTTACTTGTGAAATGAATGTGCATTTTGTGGAACACAAAAACCCAGCAAAATAAACATGAAAACTCAAAATCAGATAAAATAAAAAGAACCATACAAGGGGGTAAACTTCTTCAATAGGTGTTCCAGGCTTTAATGCCACAGCAGGCTTCATGCCCTTCGACTTGATTCTTTGGATGAGCTCTTGCCAGTTTTCTGCCAAAGGTACAACAATACCCTTCCATCCGAAAAACAAGGAACAAACTTCTATAGCTAAGATGGCAAGAAGAAGTGGCAAGAAAAAAAGGAGTAATGCATCTTAGGCCACCTTTTGGAGGCCTCAACATGAAAGGTGAAACCTGAAGCACCAGCTTTACCCAAAGGCTCAACATAATCAATTGGATTTGTCACCATAAGGTGACAATCAAGATATGCCCTATGGTAGATAAGGCAGGATAGAAGGTCTAGTTAGACCTGTGTGCT